TTCTGGTACCTGAGCAAAGAGTGGAAGAACCAAGAGCTGAGTGTGGCAGCAAATGTGGAGAGAGAATGTTATGCACTTATAGCAAGAATGAGGCAACTGAAGTCATCTGTGTGCAAGTGGATCTTCATATCTGTAGATCCAGGCATAAAAAAGATTGTTACTTAATGAATACCCGAGTCTGCCCATCTTCATTCACTGCAAAGATGGGGTCAAGCCCTGCATCACTATTTTCTCCCATACCAAAGATCTAGTTTATGGATGAAATAAGTCTTGTGGCTATCAACATCTTTATTAAATGCCCAGGGTACAGGAAGAAAGAAGGTAACTTAATCTTTTTTCAGCCTAATCCTGGAAGTGGCATCTCGTGGCTTCTGATGAATTCTGCTTTGCTAGAACCAAATTGATAAGCTCAGGTGATCACACAGGGTATAATACAGATTGGGGGTCAGCAGAGACCATCTTGGAGTTGCCTTCAACATCCTACTGGCTTAGAAATCAGAAAATGTGCATTTTAGCAGCCCAATTTCTGGCCACAAGGCCCAGACCAACTCTTTTCTTGTCTCTAGCATTTACATTCTGTCTGTAAAATGAACACATTCAGATGATTACCCAGTTAATAATAGCTATAACCCAGTGCCCTTGGAGACTAAATGACAGTCAATCGTGAAAAGCAAAGACTCTGAAAACTTAACCATCCTTTCAACCTTATAGGGAAATCTTCTCAGCCCCTACCCATAGACCACCCTGGGAGGAAGGGACACCAGTAATATACATGTCTCTGCTTCCTGGAGTCTAACCTTCCCTCTGTATCTCTGAAGGTTTACCCCTTTTTATCTGCGCCTGAGGTCACTGGCACCAGACAACAGCTTTTTCAAGCTTATCTCTCTAATAACTTTTATGCTACTTGAACATGGAGCACCTGGCCCCCTAGGCAGCTGAGTGACAGATAACTTCCATTAACAAGCCAGATCCCTGGTGCCCAAATCAGACATGAGGAGGTGATGCTTGGCCACCCTCTTCCACATGACTCATTCTCTAATTGACTTGTCTACTGAGCCTTTTTTGGCCAAAGACCATAAATTGAGAAAGATAGTAAAGAAACAGAATATGACATGGAATCAAGACGAGAGAAGAGGAGGCTATGTGAAATTAAATTTAACACTGCTAGCACTTAACACATGATCTCATTGCCTTTACCAGCAGATCTTTGTGAAGCTTGTTATCCTCGTGGTCTGCCCACTCAGCTATTATGTATCAGAACTAAGACCAAGCCTAGGTCTGTTTTACATTAAACTGAGATGCACTCTTAAATCTGCCTTCGCAACACTTCTGATTAGTTTTGGGTAAAGCAAACCTTGCTTTAACCAGTAAAAGAAAGTCTAGTCAGCATTCTACAAGCGTTCAATCAACAAAGTTCACCAGAAGAGACTTCCTTTACCCCAACCTGTGGTGCATCAGTCATCCTCTTAGGGGCTTTAGGAAAATAGAGTTCATCGGGACTGTGGATACCATCAGAGAAACATCAGAAGAGGGAATCTTTGGATCCCAGAGGTTGCTGGGATTCAGTACCTCATTTAGAAGGTAGGTCAGACCTAGCCTTAGACTCTTTCCCTCCCAACCATGTCCTGAGGAAGAATGAAGCCAAGCCCCTTGAGGCTGATCCAAGTTCTGGGAAAGAAAGACGTCCACCAGCCTCCCCTTCTGCAATCCTCTCTAGAGGCACCTAAGCCTGGGAGGACAAGGAGCATCAGTTGGTGCTAACTTCTTTCTGGACCATGCATAGTCTAGCTGAGGAGGAACAGCTGTAAGCACGGGAGACAAAGCTCATAAAAGGCCTACGAACTTTACTCACTGCCATAAACACATCAGAATAATTAGAACTTGATGATCCCTTACAACCTCCTCACATCTCTGCTCCCTGGTGTTTGGAAAAGAACCTGAGACCAACTCACCAGTACCAGGGCCAAGATTTCTTGAGGCTCAGATACAAGCTCCCCTTCTAAGGGACTTCCCAATGCCCACCCGTAATTAGTGACTCACTGATGAGAGCAGCTGCCCCAGAGTGACTGCAAAATTCTTTGTCCTCCTGCTACACTAATCTGATGCTCAAACTGACTATTCAAGTACGCAGAGAAAGCATCTGCTTCATCTGTCAAAGCCATGGGCCCTTTTGTAGCACATCAAGGGACTGTAAGTACCAAAAGCCCAGTGTGTTCATTAGGATTGCAAAATATCCACCCTAGTGGGTACTAGATTCTGGTTGTACTGAGAATTATTTCCTTTTGTCTTCAAAATAGTCCAATGAGGATAGAAAAAAATTTACAGAAAGTCCAAAACTAGAGAGGTTGAACTAGGACTTGGATCCAGGTAGTTTGAATTTCTCAAATGCCTGATACTTCTCAGCACTCAATAAATTCAGCAGTTTACTTCTCCCTTGGGGGACAGCAAAGCCACATCTTATGTGTGAGACATCTTTGCAGGCAGGCTCTCTCTAAGGAGACTGTTCTTCCCCCAAGTCAGCATGAGGCCCTAAGAGATGGAGAACCCCTTGTTACTCCTTCTTCTATGGTAGCACCACTAGAAAACAGTCTTGCACTGGGAAGCTAGTGATCCATCCCCGCTGTTTATTCCTTACCTACCTGGACCGATCAAGTTTTCCTCTCCATTTAGGGAAATGAAGTACAAAGAGCAAGGTATCTCCAGTGCTGGATATGGGAGTCCAGGCTCTGTGTATCCTTGAGGGCTCTTCAGAGCCAGTGCTGAGAGGCAGGAAGGGGGAACCAGTGACGGGACAGGAGACAATCTACAGCCGCGGGCCGTAAAATTCCTGTCTTGATGAAGAGGGGAACTTACCAAGGAGTAGGATGCCTGCTGAATGTAGATTCTTGAGCTGTCATAGGCCTTAGAAATCACCTGGTACAGACAGGTTCTTCATTTTACAGAAAAGGAAAATGAATTCTAGAGAATGGCGTTTGGTTTGGTTTGGTTTGATTTGGTTTTGGACAGGATCTCGCTGTGTAGTTCAGACTGGCCTTGAACTCACTATGTAGCATAGACTGGCCTCAAATTCACAGAAATCCTCCTGCTTCCACTTCTCAAGGGCTAGGATTAAAGGTGTGCACCACCACACCCTACTGAGAATGGCTTTTGGAACCTTGTCGGGTTGAATCTAGTCCTGGCTGAACTTCTTCATGCATATATCGCTAGGTCTCCTGCTGCCTGCATGCAAGGACTCATCAGAACCATCCAGGCAGCTCCGAGCTGGCAGCCCCAGGTACATACTGTTAGCCCAGGAATTTTTATATTTCAAGAAGAGCTGTTCTAGAAAGGTGAGAAAATTGTAGGTAGTGAGATCATATGGCTTATTATATAAACTGGTACCCTTCTGCCAGTGTTAGGGATCGGGGCATACTAGGTGAAATGGGGACCTATAGTTACCCTAAACATATAAGATCTTGGGGTCATTCCTGGTGGAGAAGGCAGCATTGTATAATTAAATGAGTCAGCAGCCACTTCTTGGACAGCAACACTGTGTGGCCACGCCAGTGCCTGACACACCAGTGAGTAAACAAGTGAGAATCGCATGCACACAGCCTAGCTCTTGGTGGTTCAGTTCTCCTTATTAACTGTCACAAGCCACTGTCCCTCTCCAGATCTCATTTTCACCTTCAGAAAATTAAAGAGTTGAACCTCATCACTTCTCAGCCCCTCCCTCCAAGCTGTAGCGTCTGGGAATCTATGGGACATCTGGCTGAGAGGAGAGGTCCCAACACAGCAGACTCCACCCTTGCCAGCCATTGCACTAACCAGCAGAACACATGGCGTGGCCCCTCTTGGCCTCTGAGCCCCACCTTACCCAGTCTGCCCCAGCTCCCTCCCGACCAAGCATGGTTGCTCCTCCCATTTGATGTAGAACAATGCCCTAGAGATGGAGGAAGAGACCTGCACAAGACACACACACAGACAGACTCACACATGCACACACAGGCACACACACATACATACCCAAGAATCAGAGCAAACATAAAAAGTCACAACATTCAAACAAGTGCAAAGAACATGCCAAGAATCCCCTGGCACTGCCTGTGCGAAACACCTGGTCATGTTTAACTCAAGCCCCAAATGTGATTTCCATGTGGATGCTTCTCCCTGCAGGGAAGGTGGAAGGCAGGCTGGATACCCTTGGCATGGACCAGGCTAGCCTGAGTCACCCCACTGCCTCCTAAGGGACAGGTTCCACTGGTGCCAGCCAGCAGCTGACAAAGGGAGAGTGCTACCACTCCAGGTCTCACTTCAAATGTGCTCTTTAACCTAAGCTCTGCCACCACCTCCCTTGGAGCCAGCAGATGGGGAAACAGAAGGGAGATGGCCGGTAGGGCCCATTGCCTTCCCATGGAGGACCTCAGCTTAATAGAAGTTGTCATGTGTCAGCTTAGGGCATGAGCAGTGCCGCCTCGACAGCAGCTGCTCCAGGGGCCCACAGCCAACCTGGGGCTGATGTGAGGGGCCCGTTCTAAGGACAGAGAAGTCCCAGACCCAGGCATGCAAACAGCCAGGCACAGGTGAAGGGGAAAGGGACTCTAAGTACAAAACTAACCTGCTTTCTTTGGCTAGGCCAATTCCTAGCATTCAAAGATGTCACCTTCAGGATCTGGTGAGCAAGATGAAAGGAAAGAGCAGCCAATGCTGTGGAATCCACCACTAAGCTTTGTTTGACTTCTCCAAAAAACCCTAGATCTTAGAGTTATGAATTCACAGGATTCACAGGCTCAACGCATTCTACAGATGGGTAGCCAGGTGCCCGGAGATGCTCCAAGGACCCACCTCATGTGATACAGACACAGTGCCTGAATCGGACATCCTAGCACTTTCCTTAACGCTCTGTTCTCTTTCCTACTTCTTACCAATAAGTACTTATGCATCATAATAAGACCAAGATTAATTCGGTTATCACGTATTTGAAGTAACATATTTTTTTATTTGAATCATTGTACATCTCAAAATATTACAGTTTTGCAAATGAGAATACTAAAGCGCCTGCCTGGCAAGCAGGCAGTCGTGAGTTCGATCCCCAGTGCCGATAAAAAGGAAAAAGACCCCCAAAAAAAGAATGCTAAAATTTATAATGTGGTATATTCCAATAACAATTCTAACAATTCTATTTAAGTTTAGAGTATATTTTTAAACATTAAGGAAATTACAAAATTTTGCCAAATCCTGAGTTTTCTTTACAGCCAGCCAAAACACACAAATTGTTTCTGGCATTCTGATCTCCTTCATGTAGCATCTGAATCTATGGTGCATGAAGCTTTCTGCAATTTACATTTTCCTCATTCACAATATCTTGAGTTCCACTGCTCACGAGCTCTGAGTTCCTCTGTTGGGAATAATAAGAAAAAGAGGTTAGTTTTTGCAAGAAAAAGAAAAACATGAGAGGCAAAATTGTTGAAGGAAAGTTGCGGAATCTGCAGTCATGTCATAGAAGAGAGGCGGGGGGTCAAGTTTTAGGTCTCCTCTCAAAGCCCTCCTGTATGAGCACAAGGACGAAGGAAGCTGATGGGCAGGGGCAGAGGGTAAGATGCAACCGAGCTCAGGCTGTTAAATCCCGTGCACTGGGATGGAGCCTTGCAAAAGGCCGGCTCAGCTTTTCCAAGAAAGTTCAGCAGAAGTTAATTGAAGCAGTCACACACTCCAACTTCCCCGAGCCTCCCTGAGCCCCTAGGTCTCCCAGAGACTCGTGTGCACATCCTCGCTGTAAAATCACATTGACCATTTGTGTGGAGAGCAGATGCAGACAGCGTGCCTTTTATGCTCATTATAGGCAGCAAAGCAAAATGATTGTCAAGCTTGTCATTAAAACAGCAGGGGAGTGAAACCCTCAAAAATTCTAGCAAATGAGTAAAGAAATGGAAATAAAATGCATAATAATGGGTATTCTGTACCAGGATGATGTGTGAAATATCTTTACCAGCACAGAGCACTACACAAGGGCGCTGTATTTTATGATAATAAATGCATTTATACATTATCTGGTGCTTTATAGATTTCCTGGTGTCCTCAGTCTCTCACAGTCTTACTTTCTGAGTTGTTAAATTTTCCAGGAGTAAATTCGTAAGTTTTCTTATTCCACTGTCGTGTGTATTGTCTTTAGTTGCTGTTGTTGTTGCTTTCGTTCTCTGTTTTGTCTTCCTTTTTTTAGAGAAGCTGCCTTCCTCTTAAGGGAAACAAGCATACAAACATACTAAGTAAGAAAGTCCAAGAGTGGGGCTGGTTAATAAGGAATGATAAAGCTTTACTCTGCTAGTTCACGTGTGCCCACTAAAATACATAGTGAGATGTGTTCTGGGCAGCGCTATGACCAGGTGGCTGGATTTATGAGGTGGTAGCAGTTTTAACTAGCTCTTTGCTTTGAAGACACAGGAATGGTGCTAAGCCCCTAAGAGGCGTACAACCAAGTGGGCTTGTTATCTCATGGAAAGAAGAAAATAAATGAGTTTGTAAAATTAGGAAGCTAGGCCATGAGGTCCAAGGGAAAACACAGCACACGGGTGATCCGGACCTGAAGTCAGTTCTCCTTTCTGTACCTCTCTGAGCTTTCATTCCTTTCACTTACAAAGTTCTGGAAATAATACCTATTTTATAGCATTATGGTGAGGACTACATAAAATGAGGTTCGTAGAAAGTGGCTCGTATGCTAACACATTGCTTTGCAATTATTATTCTGAGCAAGACTCCAAATCCCTGTTAGTTGGGAATCTGAAAATATAAAAAACTCTTATTAGAAAACAAACATGAATAGAAATCTCCACTGCAAGCAAAGGAGATTAACTTGACCCATTCTGCTGCCTCTGCTGTTGGTTTGTGTTCCTCGTAACTTCATCTCAGAATTACAAGGCAGGCAGAATGCTAAGACTTCTGAGATGAACTTACAAGGAACACGAACCAACAGCAGAGACAGCAGAATGGGTCTGTTCCAGTGGTGGCAAAACTATGGCATGCGTGCTGTGTTTTTTTTTAAGACAAAAGATGTTGGCAGCCATTCTTTCTGGAGTGAGATGAAATCTCACTGCGTTTTAATTTGCATTTCTCGAATGACCAGTGATGGTGAACATTTCTTCATGTATTTATTTGCCATTTGTATATCTTCACCTAGAACTGTGTGTTCATCTCAGATGCCCATTTTTGGAGAGGGTCTTTGAATTTCGGGGCTTGGTATTTTTCAATTCTTTATATGTTCTGGATGTAAGTCCTTTGTCTGAGGGATTGTCGGCTATAATTTTTTCCCATTCTGTGGGTTTTCTTTTCACTCTGTTGGTGATTCCTTTTGAAGTGAAAAACTTTTAATAACAGTTGTTGATTCTTTGAAGTATTTCCCATGAGGTTTGCATTTTGTTCATGAATTCTCTGCCTAGCCCTATGTCTCCAAGACTTCTACCTACCTTGTCTTCCAGTAGATTTAGTGTTTCTGTTTAAATATTTAGATCTTTGATCCATTTTGACTTTAGTTTAGTGTATGGTGACAGGTATGGGTCTAGTTCCAGTCTTCAGCATGTGGAAAGCCAGTTTTTCCAACACCATTTATTAAAGAGCCCATCCATCTTCCAGTGAATATGTTTAGCCCCTTTGTCGAATATAAGGTTGCTGAGTGTCTTTGTAGTTGTGTTTGCATCTTCTAATCTGTTCCATTGGTGCTCAGGTCTTTTGATCAGTACCATGCTGATTTTATCACAGTAACTTTGTAGTATACTTTCAGGTCAGGAATTGAGAAGCCTCCTGTCTTGCCTTTGTTGCCCAGAATCGCCTTTGGTATTCTAGGTTTCTTCTGTTTCCCAATGAATTTTAGCAGTGTTTTCTCTAGATTTGTAATGTATGTTAATAGTGTTTCGATTGGGATTGCATTAAATCTGTATAACTGTTTTGGGAGTATGGCCATTTTCACAATATTGGCTCTTCTTAGCCAAGAGCAAGGAATATCCTTCCATTTCTAATATCATCTTCAATCTCCTTTGTTAGCATAGTATAATTTTCAGCATATAGGTCTTTTACATTCTTGGTTAGGTTGATTCCTAAGTATCTCACGTTTTAAATGCTATTGTGAAGGATGATATTTCCATAATTTCTCTCTCAGTGAGTTTTTGTGTACAGAAATGCTATTGATTTTCGAATGTTGATTTTGTATCCAGCTATGCTTCTGAACTTTTTTAATACCTCTAGTAGTCTTTTAATGGACTTTTTTGGGTCTTCTATCTAAAATATTTTCCCAAAAAAATTGAAAAGATCATGTCACAGTAATGTATGTGCACCCGTATTTATAGCAGCACAATTTGTGATAGCTAAATCTTGGAAATAACCAAAATGCCTGTCAACTGCAGATTGGATGAAAAAGATGTGGTATTTTTCTCAAAGGGGAATATTACTCAGCTATAAAAAAGGATTATCTTCAGACCTTTATATGTAAAGGGAGGCAACTTGAGACTATTCTCATAAGTGAAATAAATAAGCCACACATTTGTAAATATCACATTGCCTCTCTAGTGTAAAAAAATAAAAAATTGAAAGAGTAATAAGATCCAAAATGTATAATAGATATTGTGAAAGTGACAGGGAGGGAGAGTGCTCTAAAGGATACATGTTTGTTTAACAAAACAGAATGTATGTTTAAGTGTGTAAGATAGATGACCATATTACAGGGTTTTCATTAGATTACTGAAAAGAATGTTTACACTGTGAATGTTTGAGTGTCTGTCCACTTTTTATGCTTTCATTTTATAACTTGAACAACTATTTCTAAGAGGACAATATGAAGCTTATCAACCAGTAATTTTTGAGTGTTAATATTTTTCTTCAAAATTATGTATTGCCTCTACCCTTTTTTTCTGTTTTGTCTTGCTTTCTCTTTCTTTTTTCCTTTAAATGAAAAAAAAAAAAAAAAAAACAACAGAAGCAATACATGGAAATTAGAGATAACGTTGACCTGAGTTTAAAACTTAAAGATTCATTAAGGTCTTATTCACAACTCTTTATATTGGAAGATGCTTAAATCCAACTGAAACTAGCTTCACAAGGAAAAATAAATTATAGACTCTTATAAAAAAAAATTTCAAGTATATATTGCTTACAGGCATGAGTCAACACCAGACATCCACCACTTATCCCTTCCAATCTTCCTTTCTTCTGTGCTAGCTTCATTTATGGTAGGCTTCTCGCTCCTTGGGGCAAGATGGTCATCATCTTTCCCATTTTTAAAATAAACATTCAAGATCTATTTTTTTAAAAAGACGTTAATGGGTTGTCCTTTAAGACTTTCTCCCACTGAGGGATCTCAGTTAATGGTAGCCCCTCTCTACTCGTTTGGAGTATGAATAGAACAATGACTCTAAGTAACCTTTGAGTAATATTTCATCTTTTGAGTGGTACCAAAGTTGTGAACTGTGACAAGTGGTGCCCGGTGTGAGGAATGAATGAGGACCATATGAAGAATCAATTATGGCAACTCAGCATAGGAACCAGTCTTCCAAAGCCTGCTAAAGGAATGAAGACATCCAGCTTCACATCCTGATTCCAAGGGACTTTTGGGAAGATGGCAAAGTGTTGAGCAACAGAGAAACAACCTCTCCAGTATTTGATGTTCAAATGCTGGAATATAGCAATGTGAGGGAGAGAAAAAGGAGAGAAGTGGTCTCAGGACTCAGGAAGAATCTGAAGTGTGAATTGAAGCCGATAGGGAGAGTGAAGAGAGAGACCTCAACAAAAAAAGGAGGTGGCAAGCAGCATTTGCTCCCTAGGTCTTGACTTGTGGCTTGGGAGGGGCAGCTCAAGCTGCATATACATGGCAACTACTGGTAATCCCAGAGGCCTCTAAGGAGAAGTGATTCTAATAGAATGGACCAGTGGATTCAGTGGACTGCAATGGCTAGTGAATTGCTCAGTCTCACGTGCCCTACAGGAGAGGGCAATTGACTGGTTGCCACTTTGGAGAAGGCCAACTGAGCTCAGAACTCAGAGCATCCACAGGTTAGCTCCATCTAGCGGCTCCCAGGATGAAGCAGAGTTGAGTTCAAGCTGGTAGAAGGTACACAGAGTTGCAGGCTAACAATTCAAGTTCCAGTTTCAGTGCCAGAAACCCTCCTGAACCTCAGTGGAACTAAAGGTATGGGCTTACTAGGATTAATACTACACTTCTGGAGATCTGCTACTGGGATTACTCAGTGTGGAACTGGGCTTTGTCTGCCCACTCTTTCTATCAGTAACAGCAGAGACATGCCCTGAAATGGCCATTTTCCCCCTCTTTTCTTCCTTTTTTCTCTTTCTTGATTGTTTGTTCTTGTTTTTATATGTGTGAACATTGTTGTTCTGTTCACATTTCTGTTTCTTCCTTTTCTCTTTCCTTCCTGTCTGCTTCATTGGTTTCCCAAAGTTTGCATAATTTTCCTGTATCCTTCAGCCTTGTTTCCAATCTCTTCCTCTTCATCTGTTCTCTATTTTCCCTGTAAACCCTTTAAACTTTTCTCACCTGAGGGTATAATCACCATATTGAGGATCTACTTACTATATATAATTTTCAACTTTATTTAAGATTGTGTTACATAACCACAAATCTAGTTCATACAGTTAAAGGTGACAAGTTAATAGCTGCCACAATTTGTCATTTTCTAGGCTGTGTTTGATGAGATTATTATTACTGATTGTACTATTTAGCCAAGGTGGCTAATTGTTCTAATCAGTTTTTTCCTGGTATGTCAAGACTGAGACTGCCCAGTGGTCATAAACAATTCAACAGGCCAGTGCCAAAGAATGAGGGATTAGGTCACATGGGTAGCAACCTCCAATAAATTGAAGAAGTAAAATCTTGCAACATACTCAAAGCCCCAAAACCAGCTATATCCTAGTCTCTGAATACTCATTTTCAAAGGGTTCACAAAACTAGAAATAAAGCTACCTGCCATATGCAATTTATACACATCAAACAAGGAATTAAACTTTGAAAAAATTGAAAATGAGAAGACACAGAGGCAAGATGTAATCCCAGACTTCCATATCTCCAAAGGCAAACCCAGTGAGCAATGAGATAGAACAGCTCAAAGGTCACTCACCTGGACTCTCTGAAGTGGTGGCAGGGGAAGTGGCAAAGAAGACAAATGAGGCTCTAGAAAAAAACCAAATCAGAAACAATTTGTTAGATAACTATAAAAATGGTGACCATAATGAAGGACATGGTTAGTGACTCTAGAGCAGATACAGATAAAAAAAAAAAAAAAGTACAGGAGCTTAGGATGGAAATCATGAATGGACAGCATAAAACAAGAAATGGAATCCATGAAAAAAATTCACCCAGATATCCAGAAGATTAAAAATTCCATTGAGGGCTAGGGATATAGCTCAATTGGTACAATATCTGCCTGGCAAGCATGAGGTCATGGGTTCAACCCCTAGTGCAAAAAGAAAAAAATAATCCATCAAAAGTATACGCAGCAGAATGAGCCAATGTACAGACAAAAGACAGGATTTCAGTTGACTACCATGAAAATAAATATTTCCTCAAAATAGTACAGGACCGTGAAAAAGCCAACTACTGCTCAATGATGAAAACAAGAATAATATGAGATTTATTTGAATTAGTGAAAAATCAGGAGACAGTGCAAAGAACATAAAAAAAAAAAAATCTTGTTCACAAGAAATGACAGAAAACTTCCCAAGCATGGAAAAATAATTTCACATTCAGACAATTGAGACATATTGTTCTCGTTTATGTTTAGATGTTCCCCCTAAAAGCCCCATGCAGTCATTGAGGGGGCAGGCTTTTCAGAAGTGGCTGACTCTAGAATGTGTGATGCTAAGGTTAAGGGTGTATAAGTATTAAATCAGTCCACTGATCGGTTTAGCATAGTTCTGGTGAGGATCAATGATATGTGAGTGCTACACCCACCCTAAGGCAGGCCACTTGCATAGAATATAAGACACAGAGAGTTTTGTCCCTCCCCTTTGTTGTTTTGATACCTTGTAGGCACATGAACTGATCTCTGTGATGGCCCTCTGCCAAGCCATCTGTCTTGGAGTCAGATGATTATGGACTAAAATTTCTACAAACTTATGAGCCAAATAAAACTTTCCTCTTTTAACTTTGGGTGAAAGGTATTTTATCTCATCAAGAAGAAATGTAACTGAGACCGACTTACAACTCAAATTTAACCATGACCAAAAATATAAATCTATAGTCAAGACTCCAGAAATTCAACACGAACAGAATATTCAAAGCTATTAGAGAAAAAGAAACAAATGACCTAGAAAAGAAAGCCTATTACATTTCATCAGATTTCTCAACATAATCCCTTAGGTCAAGAGGAGCTTGGCAGGAAGTATTTTGAGCCCTAAAAGAACACAACCTCCAGCCCAGACTAATGTACTGTGCAAAATTATCTTTCAGAATTGACAGAGAAATAAGATATGTCCATAACGAAGAACACCTGAGGAAATTTGTGAACACCAAAGAAGACTCTGAAGGACATTCTAGAAATAGTAACAAGGATTAAAACTCCATGAACCCCAACAGAATGAATACAAATAGCAGGACAAGTAATTAAATAGAGGGGAAAACGGGAACAAACAACAGAAAAATGCCATGACAAGGATAAGTCAATACATTGCAGTTAAAACCATCAACATAAGTGATCTCAATTCACCAATTAAAAGAAAGAAGATCCAACAATATGCTGCATACAAGAAACACATTTAATTCAAAAAGAAATTCATAGACTGAAAGTCAAAGGATATAGAAAACAATACTTCAAGAGACAAGAAAGCAGGGGTAGCTATTCTGTTTATGACCAAAGAGAATTTCAGGTCAAGACTGATCAAGAGAGATGAAGAAAGTCACTACATCCTTATAAAGGGAACAATCCAAAAGGAAGAGATGACAATCATAAATATATGCATGAAATACCAGTGTGCCTAATGATATAAAACAAATATTAACAGCACTTATTTGAAAAATCAAATGAGCACTAATGCAACTGTAATGAGGGACCTCGATACCCCACTGGCACGAATAGACAGATCAACTAGACAAAAAGTCAACAATGTCACCTCAAAACTGAATTAAACTTTTGAAAATGGACTTAGTAGATTGTCTACAGTGTTCCACCCCACAACATCAGCATACACATTCTTCTCAGCTCACACAAGATGTTCTCCAAAATAGGCCACATACTACTTCATAAAACATGCATACATAAATGCAAAGGAACCAAAATTATCCCATGCATAGTATCAGACTATAGTGCAATGTAACTACAAGTCAATTGTAAAATAAACCACAAGAACTTCATAAACATATAGAAATTATATAATACCCTCCTGAACAACCAATGTGTCACAGAGGAAACCAAAGATGAAATTAGACAGTTTCTATAATTAAACAGTAATGTCAATAAAATATACCAGAACTTACAGAGCACAATGAAGGCATTCCTACCAAGGAAATTTATAGTGGTACATTCCCATATCAGAAAAACAGAGTGAGTTCAAATAAATAACCTAATATTGAACCTCAAGCTTCTAGAAAAAGAAGAGCAAGTCAAGCTCAAAACTCATGAATCAGGAAATTATAAAAATCAGGGCAGAAATTAATGCAATGCATATTAAGAATCAATCAAAGATTAAAAAAAAATTGACAAACATTTAGCCAACCTCATCAAACTTGCATGAGACATTGTAATGGGTTCTAGGCCCCCAGCTGGACTTGTGAATAATATTGCCAAGGTTTCTAGGTCTTCAGCTAGACTTGTGGTATCAACTAGACATCACTGTGGTTTCCATGCCTTTAGCTGGAGTCCTTGGGACAAATGTGTGAACAGTTCTCCTATATCTTCTACATGTGACTCTTTGGGTGAATATTAGAAAATGATCCTCTAAATTACGTGCCCTGTGTTAAATCTTTTCCCTTGTCAACCCTAACTAAAACATGAAGCAATACTTCCAAATTCATTCCCGGAAGCATTTTTGCTGCAAACAGTAATCTGGATGTTATGGTGTATTCTCCTTGAGAGCATGAACAAGACAATCTACTGAGATGTAAAAAGAAAAGCTTCAAATTTCTAGAAAAATTTATTCCTAAGTTTAAAAAGGAGAGAGAAAAAGCTTTAGATTTCTTGTTTGCCTGAAGAACTTAAGCGTTCTACTCCTAACTTCATAAGAAAAGGCAGAACTGAACATAAACAACTTAAATCCCTCAGAAAACTGAGGTCACAGAACAAACTCTGGAAAGACAGGTGGATACAGAGAATAACAGTTACAGGGCTGGTATCTGTAGCAAAGATTTGAATTGTAATTGGTGAATTGCTGAGGGCTGGTTTAGACTTGTTTGACACTTAAAACTTCAGAGGGGCCCAGTTTTGGAGAGGACCCCACACTTGTGAGTCATATCACACCTCTCCAGATTCTTGCTATAAATATCAGGGAAAATTCTTCTCTGTGACAGAGGAAAGGAAAGGAAAAGTCACTTTGAAATATGCCCAGACTTCTTTGCTTTTCTCAATGAGGCTTGTCCTCTGGATAAACTATGCTACAAGAGCCTGGTCAACAGGGATTTTACCAGAACCTAATTGGTCAGAGGAAAGGAAATTATTCAGCTCTGTCTCACAGAAAGATCAGGATCTAATTAGATGACTAAAGTGTCATTCCTCCCTCTCACATTTCAATCCACCACATTAATAGGGATCCCATATAAAAATCAGATTCTAGCTAAAAGAAGTACAAGCCTAGAACTCTGAGGAATCTCCGGGAAAACCTAAACATGAAAGAGGGGACAAAAGCTTTATCCACCCTTTTTTTTTTTTTAACCAACTACATCATATCAGGATTTCAACAAAAATCACAAGGCTTGGTAGAGAACAAAAACAAAAATTTAAAGAGGCAAAGTAGTCATTAGAACCAGACTCCAATATGACAGAGTTTTTAAATGACCACACCAGAAATTTGAAATATGTTAAGAACTCTAATATAAAAAGTAGAGAATACAAAATAGCTGAGTAATGTATATAGAAAAGTGAAGACTTTAAGGAAAAATCAAAAGGCTGATAGAAATAAAAAACCATAAAAGAAATGAAAAATTCCTTTGTTAGCAAGGCAGGCTACAAACAACTGATGAAAGAATCAGTGAGGTTAAACAAATGCCAACGGAAACTTCTAAAATTGAAATGCACCAAATGAAAAAGATGCAACAGAATATTCAAGACCATTTATGAAAAGTGTAACATATATATAACAAAAATACCAGAGAAGGAAAAAAAACAGAGGTAAACTATATCTGTAAACTTTCCATTGCTGTAACAAAATACTTGATACAAACAACTTAAAAAGAAAAGAGTTTATTTTGGTTCATGGTTTCAGAGGATTGAGTTGGTGTTTGGCCACTCCCTTGTTTTTAGGCCTTTGGTGAAGGAGAATATCATGGCAGAAGGTGTAACAGAGGAAACTTTCTCACTCTGTGCCAGCTGGAAAGGAGAGAGGGGGAAAAAAGCCAGAGAGGAAAGAGCCAGGGATAAGTAAGAGGTCTCCAAGGTCATACCCTCACGACTCCCTCCCTCCTACTGAAGCCACCTCCTAAGGTCCCATCGCCTCTCCCTGATGCCATCAAATCCTGATATCAATGCATTAATACATAGATGAAGCTAAAGCCCTCATGATTCAGACACCTACCAGAACCCCATCCACTTGCCTTCAAGGGATATTTTAGATCCAAATCATGATAACATTTGAAGCAGTAATGGCCAACAATTTTCCAAATTTAACAACAGACTACAGATCTGCAATTTCAAAGAATGGCAACCAAGATGAAACTAAATAGTAGGAACACAGATGGATGATGTTTGAGTTGTGGGTGGTCAAAGACAAAGGATTCTTGGAAGAATTCAGATGAGGAGAAACTTTACCTACAGAGGAAGTAGAACAAAATTTAAATTGAACTTCTCTTCAGAAACCATGCAAACAAGAAGAATATGAGTGAAATGAGTTTTGAAAGAAAAAAAACACCAACCTAAAACTGTTTATCTAGCACAATTATCCTTCAAAAGCAAGAAGAAGCAAAGATTAAATACTCTTAGACAAACAAACATTGAGGAAATTTATCACCAGCATACTTGGCTTCAA